CATCACTCGCTAGTGAAAACAAAGAAAAAGGTAAACATTTTTAACAGGTTTGCCTAGGTCACCCACTAGGTCAGAGATGAGATGTCAGAAATGTCTGAATTAAAGGAACTCATCCTTACAGTTAAACCCATTCCAACAAGGAAAACCCCAGGACCTCTGGCACTGATTCTGCCTGTTCCCCTCAGAACTGATGGGCCTGGCAATGCTGGACAACGCAGGGTCAAGTCTGAGAAGTCCATTTAAACACCTTCTTTAAACAAAGATTGACTAACTTTGCTCTCAAGTGAAAAATACTTCACTATCTAAGTAACTACCATTAAGTCCCACATCCAACAGCATGAAAAACTCTTCATTTAATGCAATACGTAACTGAATATTAAGCTGCAAAACAAGTATAAACCCTCCTGAAAACGAAGCTGCTCTCCCCTCAGTCACCTCTGGTGGCCTGCTGAAAACCTGTCACTGTGGCAGGGACAGAGGAGCTGGAATCAGCGTTCCGACCCCATTTCCAGCTACATGAGACGTTCCCATGTCCACTCATCACTTATTCTAAGAACACACAGTGGACACAAAAAGGTGCAGCCGAGCAAAGACACTTGGCATCAAAGGCTGAACCCTGCCCGAACGGCGCTTTCCAGAGTAGGCAGCTAAACTGGTTCTCACGCTGTTTTCCCTACGCGTGACCGCGGCAGCTTTCAGGCCGGCCCCGCTCCTCCCGCCCGAACGGAAAAAGGGGAAGGGACGCCGGGATTGCTCCGTGCCGCTGGAGCTGAGAGCTGCGGGGCCCGGATCGCTCTTACCTGTGGCGGCGGGGGCGATGATCCCGGCGGAGCCGCTAGTGGGGATGGGCGGCGGCGCTGGTCCCAGGGCGGCGGGCGGCGCGCCCGAGCGGGGGAACTGCTGCGAGCTCATGTCACCTGCGGGAACGGCGGCCGTTACGGCGGGACACGCTCGGCCCGGCCCGGCCCCGCCGCCCCCGCCCCGCCCGCCTCCCCGGCGCGGCCCCCGCCCCGGCGCGCCCGCGCGGGCGGGGTCGCGCGGCGCGGGGCCAATGGCGGCGGGGCGGCGCTGGCCAATGAGCGCCCGCCGTGCCCGCCCCGCCCCGCCCGCCGCGCCGCCGTGAGGGCCGCAGGGCCCGGATGAGCCCGGCAAGGCGACGGCCCCGCCGCCCCGGCCCGGGTGCCCTGCTGCCGTCCCTGCCTACCTCCCGCCCCGCACGGCCCCACCCCGCCCCTCTCCGCTCCACTCGCCCCGCTCCGCAGCGCTTCCGCCAGCCGCAGGCTTACTCCCCTCCCCGGCGCCGCCGCGCACTTGAAGCGGCGGCCACCGCCCCCACGCTGCAGCCCTTCTCCGGGGCTGCCCCCGGCCCCCGCAGCGGGGCGGGGCCGTACCTGTGCCCGGGGCGCTGCCCTGCGCCGGTCTCCCCGCGGCACCGCCGCCGCTGCCGAGCTCCGAGGGCCGCTTCCGCCGCCGCAGCTGCCCGCGCCCGATTGGCCCGGCCCGGCCCCGCCCACCACGAGTTTACGCTTCTCATGGGCTGCCGCGTCCCCCGCGAGGGCCGCCGGGAAGTGTAGTCCGCGTTCGCCGCCCGGCGGACACAGATCTCGCGAGGCGCGGGAGGGGCGGTGCCGCGCCCGGGCGCGCTATTGGCCGCACGCCGCGAGGTTTCCGAGGAAACGCGGGGTGGGCGGGGCCGGCTGCTGACCACGCCCCCTTCCCCGCGCCCGGCCCGCTTCCCGCGTCCCTTATCCCGCATCCCGGCCTTGCCAGCGGGACAGCCGGGCACGTCCCTGGCCCTGTCTGCGGGAGACTCAGTTTTGCTGCTGAGCTCAGGGCGCGGAGACTTGGTAAATAAACCGATGGCGTCAATGAATTCCTGACTCCAACAGCCCTGCTGTGCCTGGCATAGCTATTTGCTACTCCCTGGGGCCAAGGGGAAAAAAATAAATAAATAAACCCAAACCACACAAACCTTGGTAATCACAACCCTGAGACACTACCAGTACAGGTTTGGTTACACACAGCTCGGAACACCACTATTTTTCATGACATTGTTCTCATGTCTTGGAGCTCCGAGATGAAGTCGGACATCATCTGTCACTTTCAGAGTTTGTGGTTTAAAATGAAAACAGAAGGAAAACCTTTGAAATTACAGGATCACGTGTAAGTAATCCCTGGCTCTGCTTTGCAAACATTCGTGTTTGTGTTGTGAACAGCCTTACAAAGAGCTGCTGAGAAAGCCCTGGCTCGGGCCGTGGTTTGCTTTGGAAGGATACAGGATGACCATCAGCCAGCCAGCTGTCCTGTGGCTCAGCTCCTTTGACACTCCCTCACCCTTGCCCAACTTACTTCAACTGTTTGTACTCCCGGCTTTATTCTGGCTCTACATGTCTTGCCTGAGATCCCAGTTCTGCTGCCCCATCCGTGTGACTCAGAAAGCCCAGTGACACTACAGAGCGCTCCGAGGACGCGGCAGGGACAGCTGGGCACAGAGCGCACAGAACGGCTAACCGGAGCTGGCTGCTTCGGGCTGCGAGAGGGACAGCTCAGAGGGAGCTCTGACGGAGAGCTGTGAGAGGCTCAGAGAAGATAAATGAAGAACAACCGGTTTTTAATCTGCCATACGCTTCTTTTAGTTTGCACTGTAAATGAACAAGCAAGTGAAAGAAGCAGCTCTTTGTACGCAGGGTGTCCTTTCAGCAGCGCAGGCTGCCGACCGCTAATGGACGCGCCGAAGGCGGAAACACGGGCCCCACCTTTGCCTCAGGCGTTACCTCTTTAAAATGAGACTGCACGGAAGTCCTGGAGGAGGCCCCGCAGTTCCCAGGGCTGTCACCCCGGGCCGGGGCTGTGCGGCTCTCTGAGGGGAGGGCACGGTGCCGCCGCTGGCCCGGCCCGGCCCCGCCGCCACTGCGGCGCCGCGGCGCCTCTGGCCCGGCAGCGGAAGCGGAAGCGGCGGCAGCCGGGAGGGAGCGGCGGCCGCGGGGCAGGTGCGGTTACCGGGCGGCCCGCGGGGGCCGGGAGGGAGCGGCGGCGGCGGGGAGGGCCCGGGGCCGCCCCCCTCGGTGCACCGTGCGTGGGCTCGGGGCCGGCGGGGCCCCGCGGGGCTCGGTCGGTCCGCGGGCGCACGGGTGTAGCGGGACCGGCGAGCGGCGGAGGCCGCGCTCGCGGTTAATTCCCCGCACCATTAAGGATCTGACGGCCCGGGCTCAAGGCGTGCACTGAGCCCTCGGCGGCTCGGAGCTGCTGCGCGTCTGTTCAGCGCTGCAGTGAGAGCTCACTGCCGGCCGCCAGCTGGAACAAGGGGTTCCTACTCGTGGACTAACCAGTTAATCGCCATATTTTAGTTTTGGTTGACCCCTAGCACGGCAACACGAGCACTTTACAGGACGTGCTCACAGAACGATCCGGGCTATCGGCGATCGCGGTTACCAGAGATCTTTGCCGTGCGCTGATCTTTGCCACTCGCTGACCTGACAGGGCATGGCAGAGAGCGCTGCCTGCGGCTGTGGGGTGATTTATTGCTTTCCCCAAAGCCGGCTGCCCAAGTTTCCAGAAGTATTTTAAACTGAGTAATTGTAAGAAAAATAAAGGAGGAAAAATAATACTTACAAACTAAGTGTGAAAACTCCACTTTGCAATATTGTAAATCAGACTGGGATTTGCTTTGTCACCTGGCACAGAGCACAGCTGGATCTCCTCGTGTCACACGGTTCATTCCCGTGCCTCTTACCTCTTTTTCCATGGTGTCCGAGATTTCGGACTTTCTTTGTTTTATGGCTGTCATTATTTAAGGCTGTTATTCATTTCTAAAGTGCAGGGTTTCAGTTCGTTAAACAGGTGTCAGGTGACAAATGTGTACTTTGGTTTCTTTCCTGTTTCATACAGAAAAAGGCTTTTATTACGGACTTTCCCAGAATGGGAAAGAAGGCACGAGAGAGCAGCACAGCCGCTTTAGCTGAGAGAACACAGTTCAGTATATTAATTTCTGTGTTTGTGATTTGCAGTGAATAAGAAGGACTCGACTCTGGGAGGAACTGCAAACTGTGGGTTTTTAGTTGCACTTGGCAGAGGCCGAGGTTTCACTCCACAAACATTGGCTGAACTTCCCCCTCTGCACACAGGGAGCGATGGCTGAGACCGTTCTGTGATGCCATCTGCCTCCTTCCCAGGTGTGGCATAAAACAAACGTTGAGTGCAGCTGAGCAAGCTGCTCTTTGGATATCACAGCAGGCATTTCTGGCTTAATCCTGAGAAAAAGAACAATGACTGAGAGATTGCTGGGGAACTTGTGCTGGAGGAATGTAAATTTTTTAAGGGAACAGGATTTTTTTTGTCTGTGTATATATACAAGTGGAGCTTAGAGCTACTGATATATAACACTTTTTTACATTGAGATCATCATGAAAAAGAAGCATGAGTTAGAGGCAGGTTGGTGGGTGTGATATACCTGGGGTTTGGTGTGGGATGTTTTTTCACTTGCAGGGGCAAAATGGAAAATGAGTTATCCAGAAAAATAACCATGAAGAAATCTGGGTGCATATTGGGTGTGTAGTAAATATAGTCCAGTCAGAGAGGGGGAAAAACTTGAGGTTTTGGAGACTCGAATGAAAAGCCAACAGGAGAGCTCAGATTTTCCGTAAGTGTAAGAGTTGTGGGCAGGGAAACTCCGCGCAGCTGTGTCCTGCTGTATAGCTCAGACAACACAAAGGCATGAAAGTACCCATGAAGGACACTAAAGAAATGGCCTTTTTTTCCCATTATTTTTATCTTATTTCTCGCAGTCAGTTGTATCATTTGAGTCTGTTTTCATTATTTCATTCATTTTTCAGCTTCTAAAATTGGTGGTGCTTAGTGCATCCAGGAAATGCTTGTTTCTTCATTCCCCAGAGAAGCAATCCGCTGTGCCCAGCAGAACCTAAAGGGCTGACTAGGGAACCTCCTCCTTGCCTGCTTTATCTGACACTGGTTAGTACTTGGCTGCAAATGGAAGGTGTGACTTTACCTCCCATGGCATGAACGGTGGGTTGGTTTTTCACCCAGTTTGAAGTATGTGCAGTTTGCATTAAATGGGCCACTGAACCTCAAAATGTCCTAATATGTTTGGATATGCGAGATTCTGTGTTTATAAAAAGAGACAACTAACTTTTTTCTTCATCGTTTTCAGGCTTCTATAAAATGGGAATACTTATTGCAGTTCTTGGAATCTGCTTCAGCTCTTCTCTTGTAAAAGGAGATTCTAAGGCTGTGACAACATCTCTAACTACAAAGTGGCCTTCAACTCCTTTACTCCTTGAAACAAGGTAAGTGCATTATGACTTTTGTTGACAAATCAGAATATGCTTATAGGATAAAATAATGTGTTCTCTTTGTTATGTGGCACTTTGGATTCTAGGGAGGTTTAACATGGTCTTGTAAGATACCATAGCAAAAGGTATTTTCCTTCAGCATTGATTGTAAGTTATTTGCTGCTGCTTGTGTGTGTTTAGCTCAGTAAAGCTTGAGTTTAACTTTGTTTGTGTGAGTTGTGCATCCGTTAAAGTCAGCTGCTTTGGCAAGAGTTGTTCAAGTCATCCTGGGAAGATTTCTTCTATGGTATTAAAGTTTTGGGTTTTTTTCTTAAAGATGCTTTAAAAAAAGAGAACAAAATGCTGTCTTGTCATTGCCAGTCTGCTTAGCACTTTCGAAGTCCCCATAATTTCGGTTTTTTTATATTTTAGTTTGGAAATATCAATGCAAAATAGGACTTTCTTTGTTTAAGAGTGTGTGTGTGTGTGTTTAATTTTGTGTCACTTAAAGGTTGTTGCCAAATATGGAATGCTGTCTGTGTTCCTGCAGATTGCTTCATGTGAAAATGGAGCATTGCTGGGTTTCCTTCACACGGGCAGGGCTTGGGGTCAGAGGACCTGTGTGTCCTAAATGAAATTACTTTTCTGTAACCTTCTTTGTTGAAGCTGAAGACTGAAAGTTCCTTAAGCAGTAAAATGAAAAGTGCAGGTGTTCATGCCAGGATTTAAATATCCTCACACTGTGAGATATTTGTTGGGGAAAAGCTCACACTAAGACAGTGTGGAACAGTAAGCAAACACTCAAAATATTACACCAAGGGAACATGTGGATCCAATATCCATCGAATACAATATCCATTGTATTGGAAGACTTTGGATAGGTAGGATTGTTCACCTGGGATGAACTGCAGCATGATGCAGCACTGCAGTGTAAAATCATTCCTGCTGTTCAGCGTACTTAGCCCAACACTGCGATTTGTTACCCAGGTGTTAAAGCAGCTCTTGGCACCTTGGGTCAGAACACACAGGTCACTGTGGCAGCCAGTGGGCTCCAAACCTTCTGTCACAGCATCGAGCGTGTTACATGTTTAGACATGATACAGTATTTGTTGTTAGCAATGTTTAGAAAATTAGTTTTACTATCTAACATTGTATACCAACCTAATCACAAAGCTGTGACTTCTCCTTCTGCTGATTTATGAAGAAACAAACAAGAAACCCCACGAAAGCTGATAGTTCCAGTAATCTACAGTTTGTTACAGCAAAATAATCAAAAATGAATATTTCTCATAAAAGAGAGCTAGCAAAGAAATGCAGGAGGGAGGAGAGCTCCCGCGGTGGGCACTGCTGCCTGTTAGTGGTCTTTGAGAGATCAGAAGGTGCCTTACAGGGTGGTTTCATGTGCTGTGTGTTTGTCCTGGTCTGCAACTATTATTTGTTGAGGTGTGTTGTGTTTGGTTTTAGCTTTCCTGCACTGCTTTTTCCAGTAACACGGTTTTCTGATACAGGTGAATAAATGGTAGGACCGAACTTCCTGTAAAGCTTTGCAATGTATTACATTTGTAACTTGACAGAAAATTCATAGATCTAGCTAACTTCTCTTCTTACTCAGTGAGTTTTTGTCAGAAGAAGGTCAAGAAAAATTCTGGAATTTTGTGGAAGCCAGTGAGAATATTAAGACATCTGAACAGTATGGTAAGTTTTCATAGTCTTTTTCTTGATGTTGACTGAGAGTTGAAAAATAAACAACAATGTTTGGTATTCCATTGTGTTAGTCCTTATTTGACTTTTAAAATGCTGATTTCAGTAACCTTTTTTTTTCTGCAATATGCTCAAGGCTTTTGGATATCCCTTTGACAAAAGCTGTAGTGGATGGGTCTGAAACGTTTTGCTTGCCAGTTTCTTTTTCGACACAAAGTATAAAATTTTGTAAATACCTTTTCTCTGTGTTACTGCTTCTCAACTGAAATTAAATGGGAGCTCTTAACTGTTTCCCTCCTCCCCAGCCTGTGTTTGCATCCTCAGGAATGTCTTTAAGTTTACTCTCATGAGTCTGTATTGAAGTCCACTCTCATCCATCTGTAGAACAGTTGTAATGAAAATTGAGGAGGATCAGTCATGTGCATATTTATGATTAATTTCATGGACTAGTTAGCCCATGTTAGTATAAATCATGAGGTGGAAGGTCCCCCTTCAATGACAATATGGTATAGGACGATAACTGTTTGTACTTTGACTTTGCAGGTAGCGATTCTTCTTCTTACCAGGAGATGCTGAGAGTTGCCTGCCAGACTCTGTCACCTTTGCAGCAGAATTTGCTGAAGTTTTCCTTGTCTTTACGCTCTTATTCTGCAACTGTTCAAGCTTTTCAACAGGTTAGTACAGGAAATGCTCAAATGATGTGCAGAGCTTTGCCTAAGGGCCAAGAAGGAGCAAGCTGTGGAAGGAGATGTTTGAGAGTATGAAAGCCCTGACCTGACTGACTGCTCCATACACCTGGCCTGCAGAGCAGATGGATATATGAATTGCATGGGGGGGCTGAATTTTTGTCTGGAGTAGATTAACAATTAGGATTTTGACATGTCTGCCTATCTTTGTGCCTGCTGCACTAATAATTGTGTGAAGATTTTTATGAGGAAAATCCCTACGGCTCCATTGGTACTTGTGGTGCTGCTGCTGTTCCCGTTGTTCAGCTGTACTTACTTGAAGATAGTAATCCATTAATATATATCTCTCATGTGCTTTATTTAGTTAATGCTATAAAACATCTTGCTTTTTTATCTGGAATCATTTTGTCATTTGATATTCAACAAACACAGAGGTTTGTGATGTGTAATGGAAAAAAAACCTCAAGCAAACCCCCTCCAGTGGCAAGCCTTGCTTTCTGTACCTGGAACTGGCATTACAGTCAATAGTAACAGACTGGGAAACAAGGCTTAACCCTCAGTTTTGCAATTTCACCTTGCATTTAAATTATGTCACAAGCGTGGAAAAAATACTAGTTTGGAACATAAGAAATCAAATAATACCAATTACTGCACAGCTACACTGTTATAATTTTCACTTATTCTAAGTGAATTTTATTATATTTTCACTTATTCAACCTACATTATTGCAAATATTTTATACAGATAGCAGCAGATGAACCTCCACCAAAGGGCTGTACCCTGTTTTTTGTTGTGCATGGGGAGAAGACATGTGAATTTGACTCTCTTGGAAACCTTTTACAGGCAGCCTCAGACAGGTACTTGCTTCATTTCATATGACTGGATTAGCTCTTGAAATTTAGACTTACTGCTGTGAAGACATTGTAATAAACCAGATAAATCAGTAGTTTCTACTTTCTTCAGTGTTGATTTATCCTGTCCATTGCTTGCAAAGGAGTGGCAGTCTCTTATTTTGTATGAATCCAGATTGCAATGATTGTTTTCTTATCCCTTCCTCTTTGATATTCTGCTAGGAGGAATGTGCACAGGAAAAATTGGAAACAAATCCTGGATCAGCTTGAAATTGTTGAAGGACAGTAGGAAATCTCAGGAGAGAGTAAAGCCTTCAGTATGTAGAGAGAATAGAAGGAGCTGGGCTGCATATTAAAATGAGAGTTAACGTAACAGATTGTTTCATGAATGGCTGGAAGCATGCACAGGCTTTTTTTAACTCTATATAATTTTCCTCAGCATTAACAAAGAAAAGCATTACCACACAATGTATATTTCAAATTCAGATTTCTCTGTGTGAGCAGAACTTGATTGTAACTGCCAGTGACAAAAAGAAGCTATAATACCTCTTTAGAAAGCAAAACAAAGTAACAAACCAAAACCAACCCAAGCCCTTAAATTTCAGTTTGTCCTCATAGTAATCTTGGTGGTTTGGGCTTTTGTAAGCATAAAGAGTTTTTGTCAGTGTGCACACATATGGCATCTATAGCTCACATGCTATTCTTCTGATTCATTGGGAATATTTTAAATATTTCATTGTATTTTAGACAAAATATGAAGACAGGAGTTAAAAATAGTCACTTTCTTTTTGTTTACTAAGCCAAATTCAAATGAATTTGTGTTCCTGGAACGTTTGTTGTATTAGCTTTTTTAATTTGTCATACAGAATTTATGAACCATGGGGGTTGGAGGGGAGAAAGTTAATTGGAAATTTAAGGGAAATGGTTCATTTTAAAAATAAGGATCATATTAGATTCAAAATAGCTCTTAGTTACTTGTTTCAGTTTCATATGTTCAGTTTTAACAAAGCATTGTTGACGTGCAGCAAGTGTTGCCAGCCTTGATAATATCTGGGAATAGCTTGATGCACGTGTTCAGTGAAAATAGGAATAGTGATTAAACAGGAGAAACAAATGTCCATCTTGCCCTGAGTGAGCAAAGGCTGTGAATCACACTGGGGCAATCTTCACTGTTTCCTCTTAGGCCAAAGCCATTTTTGTTCAAGGGGGACCACAGGTACCCAGCGTCAAACCCCGAAAGTCCCGTTGTCATCCTTTATGCTGAGATTGGCTCAGAGCAGTTCTACAGACACCACAGGAAGCTTGTTTCAAAGGCTGAGGCAGGAGAAATCACCTATGTCCTCAGACACTACATTGCTGTAAGTATATTTGTGCAATTTAACAGAAGTATTTGAATTTGAAAGAGTAACTGGCCTGGGTTTTAAAAAAGAAAACTGGCCCAAGTTTGTTCCCTTTAACTTGCCATAATGTGCTGCTGTATTTATTTTGGAATATTTATTTTGAATACTCGAAGTTCTATTTATTATTGCATGTAGCTGAGGAATACAGAATAAATTTAAATCTCCTGATTGTTTAAGTAAGAACATCATTTGATTTCACATATCCAGAATTAAACTTGATTAATTCAGGACTTTAAAGTAAAAAAAAAAAAATGTTTCTCTACCTATATCAGATCATAGGAAACAGATCTGTCATAGTCAGGCCACTTAGTTATTTGATAGGCAAAGCAAGGATTGACAGTAAGATGCTACTTTCAAAAGAAAGGCATTGTTTCTGTAGCAGTTTTGTTACAGAACCACTCACCGTTCCTCGTGCAATTTATCCTGCTTTCCATCTTCCTCCACTAAATTGCTCATGGCCACTGGATTAGTTCTTAAAACTACATTTCAAAAGCTCTGAGGAACTGGTTATTTGACTTGTTTCCTGAATATTACTAAATGTTACCCAAACCTGCAGTGTAGCAGCCAGGGCTTGAATGCAAAAAAGAAAACCATTGGCTGGTTCACTTCTAACATTACTTGCACTTTTAATCAAATAAAGGAATACATTGGATACACCACATTCCTTTTATCAAAGGAATTTGTTTATCAGTGTGTTCAAAATTAAGTGTATTATACATTAGATCTTGGTACTGTTATGTGACTCCTGTATACTTCAAAATACTTCAACAAGTGATCATGTTTTTCTCATTAGTCAGACCTAATTATGTATCTCTGCCTACTCATAGTTTTATTTCTTGTTTTTCTCCGTGATAACTTTTCAGTGAATGTTTCATTTTCAAACTTCACAGCTGAAGTTCCTTTCCCCCTTCTCTGATTTGGTGACAGGAATCTATCCAGCTCTACTTGGCTCACACACTGTATTCTGAAAACATTGTTTTGTGTTCCTCTTTGTGGGTTTTGATGGCTTTTGGTTCATAGAGATAATTCATGCTTGCTGAACTTCAAAAAGTGTTTGAAATACAATAGGAAATACAATGATTAGAGTATGTTACTGCAGAATCACAGAATCACTGTGTTTGTTTCTCACCACCAGTTAGGTCTGAAATGTGTACCAGCCTGAGATCTCCTAGCTTTGGCAAGTGGCAGCTTTTAACCTGCACATCAGAACAAAGAGTGGTAATATCATACTGTTTGCTTTTCCTTCCAGAATCCCAGCAAAGAAAAAGTCTACCTCTCTGGCTATGGTGTAGAACTGGCTATTAAAAGTACAGAATATAAGGCCAAGGATGATACACAGGTGAAAGGTGAATTACTGCTTTAAGTATTTTAATGTGAGCATTTTCATTTTGCAAAGATAATTTTATATTTATTTTGCTCTGAATGACTGCTTGTTTGAATTGCAGGTATTCTTCTTTCCTTAGCTCTGAAATGACTTTTGGGAGCATGTTCCCTATTAAGTATATCTTTGCCTTGGCACTTGTCTTCTGCCTCTGTGAAATGCTGGGCACAATAAAGTCATGGCTCTGGACTAGATCTTAGTAATAGCACTATTAATGCAACTAATATTTTACCAGAGAGCCAGCCATTCTCTGCTGGTGTCAAACAATTCTCTGCCTTAATTTGTCTTAACTTATCCATCCTGACAGCAGAACGTCTTTCCTGTTCTTGGTCTTTTTGGGGAAGACAAAACTTAGAATTCTGCATGGTTTTTTTGCTTTTGTTGCTTTTAGAGGACTGATCTATGTTTTCAAACTCTCATGCACCTGCCAAAACTACTTTGATAGGGTAACACGTGTATATACTTTTTATTTACACATGCACATACACATAAAACCCTCCAGATTTTCCTGCTTTTCTGTTTCTGAACAGCTTGGTGCTAGTGATGTTCTCTGTGTGTTTATAGGCACAGATGTGAATGCCACAGTCATAGATGAAAATGACCCTATTGATGAAGTGCAAGGATTTCTCTTCGGAAAACTAAGGTAAAACTCAGTTGTAAGTGGTTGGTCTTTGTTAAACACTTGCTGCAGAGGTGCTGATCCTTTGCTTTGTTACTATTTTTTGCATGTCTGAGTTACCCAGCTGCATTAGCAGCATCTTTCCATATGGTAGTTTCTTTGAATTAGCAGCAGACTTGCTTATAGGAAACCACAGGAGTTTGTTTGACCCTTGTACCCTTTTAGGCAGCTGTATCCTGACTTGACAGAAGAGCTGAAGGAGCTCAGAAAACACCTCGTGGAAAGCACCAATGAAATGGCACCTTTGAAAGTATGGCAGCTGCAAGGTAATCTGGATGAAGGCTTTCAGTACTGGTCTACAGAAACTCAGTGTAAATTTATCTTCTTGCGTTCTGCACAGTCGAGGTTGCTGGTGGTACAATTGACAGAGTTTGACTGTAAAGTCCTGCACTGGAAAATAATGGATTTTTTTAAAGGGCCTTTTTTTGTAGACTCCTGTTGAAATAGCTTTTAGAAACATTGTTTCACAGGACTTCTGACATGAGGATTGCTTTCTATATTGTGAAGTACAGTGAACCACTTGCTCTTAGACTGGCTGCTTGTATGGTCCACTAAATGTAGGAAGGAAAAGGAATTAAAATTTCTTTCCATGATCACATTATTGGTGTAGAAAGCTGAGATTTCTCAAGACCAGAGGAAAACTGTCTTTCAAAATCACCTGCATGCACCTCTGGACTCTTTCCCTGGAAAACATCTGTAGAGGCCTGTGGAGAGACTTTTCATCCTCTCAAAAAGAGTAATTTGAAAGGCTGAACATAAGTGGTAACCACAGGGAATGTACCTAAATCAAATGGAAGGGCAGATTCTCCTACCTCAGCCAAAAAAAGAGTGCTGGTCTGGACTCATTGGAGCAACCTGTAGGCAGCATGCACTGGTTCAGTTTGAAAGGGTTACTTATTTCAAGGCAACAGGTAGAAGTTGAATACAAAGATGATTTTTTAAAAAAAGGTATCTACAGGTGCTGACAGAAAAAGACTTTTCTTAGGTAACATGCAAAAAGGTCGAAACCTAAAGTGATGATGCCTCTGCATTTCCTTGTTTTCAGTTTTGAGTTCTTGACTTCTGTTTTTTCACTTCTAAGATTTGAGTTTTCAAACTGCTGCTCGCATTTTGACCGCTCCCCCCGTGGATGCTCTCATGGTCATGAAAGATCTCAGTCAGAACTTTCCTACAAAGGCCAGGTAACTTTAATTATGAATTCTAGGAAGTTTTCTCACTCTTTTTTCTGAGCAGAACCTGAGACAGGCAGCATTGGTTGGGTTAATGTCTGACTTTTCATTTAGCTGGAAGCAAACACTGGGGAATGTTTATGCAGTTCTTCAGCCTACAGTTACAAAGAGGATCTTAAAGTGTTTATTTTGCATGGCAGCTGATGTGGACTGGTGGAAAATTTGCCAGAATTGCCTGTGCTCTTTTGTTGTGAAATGTTTCTGAGCCTATTGCATCAAGTCCTCAAGAATTTATTGGCTGTGTTTTCTCTTTGGTGGCCTTAATGTTTATCCATTCACAGGATCCCACTTTTCTGGGATCCTCTTTGCCATACAGTCACATGTCAGAGGCTGATGTGCAGATCTACTGGTTTTTGCACTTTGCCAGTGACTGTCTTTAGCATATTCAAATCACTGTCAGAAAATTCAGTCATTATCTGGTCTGCCCAACCAGTCGAGAAATGTCTTGTGATAAATTCCATGGCCTGGATTGGAAGTTGATATTACAGGAGCTCCTCATTTTTGAATAGGTGGAGATACACCTGAGATGAGAGTAAAAAGAAACTGATTTCTGGTCTTATTTCCCACTAAGTGATGTTAAAGTGCTATTTAGATCTTCTTAAGGCTGGCATTGCACTCTTACTGTGTTTTTCGTCTGATCTATGGGCTCTACTTGCCCATTCTGTGATGATGCAATCACTAGATCCAAAGTAAGGAAAGGAGTGGGAACCCACCATGTGGAGTGAAATCCCCCTATTTTGTGCTGCCAGCCTCCACCTCTGCCTTTCTGGCAGCTGTTCACTCTTATGTGGTTCAGTGTGAAATTAGACACTGAGAGGTGGCCTGTGGTTAACATTTTTGTGCTGCTGAATTGTATGCTTTAAGAAAAATGCTGCATCCTACTGTTTAATAGTATCACAAAGTGCCAGTGCCTCTGATTTCAGCTCTTTATATTAGAGGATTAATTATATTAATATGTAAAGTACAAAAGGTAGGATAAGTAGGTACCCAGAAAGATGATTCACAGCGTGATGTTTTTGTTTTTTTAGAGCCATAACAAAAACTGTTGTTTCTTCAGAACTCAGAGCAGAAATTGAAGAGAACCAAAAGGTAATGCTTTCAGAAAGTAACATAGTGACTTTGCACTTATGTTTTAATAGAAATTCAAGCTTTGAAAATAATGATTCTGTTTAAAAGTTTATGTGTTGTTCAAGATAACGACCAGTATTTTCACACACAACTTTGTAGTGTGCATTTCAGAAGAGAAGTGGTGGATTTTCAAACATGAATTAGGAATATAATTTACTTTGTTTGCTCAAATATGAAAATACTACACTTGTTAGAAAGCTATTGCTTGAAAAACAGATATATTAAACATTTTCTTACAGTTTTAAGGATGCAGAAAAAATTTAGTTCTTATTACCCAGTTGGAGGTGATGCTTAGGTGATACCTGGATTCATCAGTGTTTGCAAGGAAGAGTCACAGAATAAATTCAAACCTACCAAGGCTTTAGAGTCATTCATACTATGTGGAGAAAATGGTTTCAGTGTTGGTGCTTTGAAAGTGAAACTACTGAAGGGATAAAATTCACCAGCTAATTCTACATGTGCTTTGAAACAGAATCTTAAACCCCCCCAGGTCATGAGGGGCCCCTGGAGGTCCCTGAGTAGGCTCTGGTGTTTGCAGCAGAGTTTTGACAGCTAAGTTGCATACTTGGCATTAGCAAAGCACTGAAAAAACCCAAGAGCCACTGGGGATTTTGTACAGGCTTTTGTACAGAATTTTGTGCACCAGGTAATGTGGTCTGGATAGAGTGCAAAATAAAACTCTAAGCCAAACAACAGCTTTTGCAATATGATCTGCACTGCTCTATCAACACATTTCAGTCTCACTGGAAAGTATTATTAGGAAAAAGACAAAGTATGTTATGTACACACATATTGTTTAAGAATCTAACCAATGATATCTGGCAAGTCTAGTAATAAATGCAAAGCTACACAACATCTACTTACAAGTCTCCTGAGATTCCTGTTCTGAGAGAGAAATGCCTTGTTGATCAGCAGTGATAAAATCAGAAAAGAAGGGATAGGGTTTGACACTGTTGTCCTGTGTGATGCTGGAAGGGACAAAGTATAGGATGTAAGTTCAAGGTAAAGCTACCTGGTGGCTTCTTTGTTATGTGTTAGATCACACTGCTTCGCAGGCAAACCCATGATTTTGTGGATTATTTTTTTTCCAGAGAATACCTAGGCTATTAGATCCAGATCTGGGTACATCTAACCCTGCCCTTTAGAGCTGTTCTTTGCACAACTCAGTTTGTGTGCATATTATTTGATAGTTAAGTTCACTGCTATGAGTATGTTAGAGTTTACTCTGTAATTATCCACAGAAAGATACAATTTAACACTCAGCTTTTCTCTAGAAGCTTTATTTATTTATGAAAATACTTACATGTTTTCTGAAGCTGCTTTCCTGTTCTTGGTACTTCACATGGTTCTTTTGCCATTCTTCAGTTTGCTTTGGTCACTGTTTCTCCTTCGTTTTCATCTTAACATTTCTTCTTAATAGAAATGTGTAACTGGTACTGCAAGATGAGAGGTACTGGAAGAAAGTTTTTCAGTGTGTAAACATAATTTTTCATGCTAGAGTTGGGAAGTTTGCTTCATCTCTCCCGATTCAATCTTGTTCTCTGTGATGGTGCCTCAATTCAGGGGCGAGTACCCATTAAATGGGGTACTGCTTGGAGGTATTTGGAAGAAATACCAAAATACTAGTAAGACTTTTTCCATGTGTGTGCTGCCTGGCTTTAGGAGATCAGACTACGGTGACAGCTCATCTGCTTTCCACTGATGACATATCCACTAGGTCAGGACTTAACTGGTACCTTAAATGCAGTTTAAGTTGGTTCCAATAGTGAGCACCATGCAAAATCCAGCCGTTTCAGTATTTTCTGCCCAAAATTGCATGTTAAAGAGCTAACACAGGGAACTAGATGCTATTTGACCATCTGCTTTGTGGGCTGTCAGCTGGAAAAAAATAAATTTAATTATTTATCTCAAGCATTTTTATTATTTTATCTGATTATGTTTAAAAAGTCTTCTCAGGGACTTTCCAATGCACTACTGAATCATATGGGAAGAAACAAACAGAATTTCAGTTTATGTGTCTCTGCACTAAATGACTTCAACTGTGTTTTCCTCTGGTAATGGATATGTGCAAGAAGTCAGCAAAGACTGCAGTTGGGAAGTAATGTAATGCAATTTGTAATGCAGTAAGGGAGATAAAATCTACAGTTTGACACATTAAACTCTCTAATAATATTTTCTGTGCAGAGCACTCCTCTAATGGCCTCCTACTTCCTTTCAGTATTTCAAAGGAACGTTGGGTTTGCAGCCAGGAGATTCTGCCCTGTTCATCAATGGACTACTTATTGATTTAGACACTCAGGACATATTTAGGTAGGAATGTTTTATTTTTCATAATAATTGTTTCCTATTTAGGAGCTTTCATCCTGCTTGTGCGTGAATGATGAAGTTATTTAGCCAATTTTGAACCTTATTCAAAAAGTCTATATCTAGATTAGGTTTAATTGATAAGTACTGTAAAAAGGAAAGGTTCCTTCTTTTATTCAAGTGCATTTCTAACAAAAAAGCAAATGTGAAAATTAAAATACCCTTGAAGGTTGAAATGGGAAGTCACCTTTGTATTATTCTTTTGATCTGTACTGTGACTAGCAAGATTTTGGTCTCCAAGTCTGTCAGCACACAGGTTTTATTCTGAAGATAGCAGACCAAGTCTCAAAGTATAAATCACTGTAAAGTTTTCACCTGAAAATCACCCCGTATCTTTGTCAAGATGCGTTGCAATAATGTGAAAATGAAATTATGTCTGTTATGCATTAGTTACTCTGATTTAATGTCGTTTCCCCTGGACACTGAATAAATTAAAGTTGCCTCAGTTTTCTTAGGACAGTTAGAAACAGGTGATAGATAAGAACCCAGACATGGCAGATATTTATTTTATACCTTTTGTGTTTACCTTTAGGATAAGAGCAAGTTATTTGCTTTGTCTTTAAACTCTTCCTTTTCCTCCCAGCTTGATTGACGTGCTGCGCAATGAAGCCCGTGTTATGGAAGGCCTGCACAGCTTAGGAATTGAGGGTCTTTCCCTGCACAATGTTCTGAAGTTGAACATCCAGCCATCAGATTCCGACTATGCCGTGGACATCAGGAGCCCTGCCATTTCGGTGCGTTTGGCTTTGCTGCCAGGCAGCCCTTGTCCTTATCTCACAATCAGCTCTGAAACTGCAGTGAAGGAAAAAAAAGGAAAATAAGGTTATAAAAATAATTAGCTCTTTTTAAAAAGCCTGATTTCTTATTTATACCATACAGTATAGTGTATGATTTGCAAATATGTTGCAGCCTCAGACTCGAGCAGGAGGAGTGTCCATCATTTAAATGCCTTTACTTTTCCTTAGTGGATCAACAACCTTGAAGTTGACAGTCGTTATAATTCCTGGCCTTCCAGTGTGCAAGAACTGCTGCGTCCCACGTTTCCAGGAGTGATCAGACAAATCAGAAAAAACTTCCATAATTTTGTAAGTGGTAAACTGAGGAGAAATGAAATGTGCATTTTGTTTTGTCAGGAGCAGGGACATGAACTTCTGAAATTTACCTCGCGTGTGTGCTGGATTCGCCATCACTCAAATAGCTTGAGATAGGATGCTTTTCTAAAAGGTTTTGTTCTACTTGAAAGTTATGACTGAGATTCAGAGATTACTGAGCATCTCTGGCATCTAATATGTACCAAAAAATCCTTCATCAGTGGAGGAAACTATCATCTGATGAGTAGGAATTTGGTGTGTTTTGTGGTAACACCTAAAGTTTGTTGATGAAATCCCTCAAATTTCTTAAATAGCATCTTAGCAGAATTCAGATGAACTTCAGTTGTTTCAGTTAGAAAGCACTCATGCACCAAGACTTCAAAAGATGATCAACAGCCCTTAGCTTATTCCTGGGTGTCTTTTTAGTCTCTAGGTAAATTACTTGAAGTAAGATCTAATAAGGAATTTATTAATTTTGCACTGTAATTCTTGGCATGGGGCAGAGTGGCCCTATAGAAAGAAGAACTCTGGTTAGGGACAAATAGGGCCTTGAACCACCTCAAGCTGTGGGTCCTCACCTCCCTTACAGTGTATAAAGTTGGACTGATGATAATTCTGCCCTGAGACTTGAATAAAGCAATCTCTGATCAAACCCTCCTTCTTGCCTTCTTAAGGGAATGGAAACTTTTCACTCACTGTTTGTGTGCAGGTGCTGATAGTAGATCCTACTCAAGACACCACAGCAGAATTACTGAATGTGGCAGAGATGTTCTTCAGTAACCACATCCCACTGAGGTAATTGTTGTGTTTTAATGTTAGGGGGGTTACATCAGTTTAATTTTTGTGACTTTTACAATTGTAAAATTCTCATTGCTTGGACACTGCAGAAATGTTACATACCTTGTATTGGAGGTATGCGTACATTTTTTAAATATAGCTTTTGCTATTAGCGAAACAGAATTCAGTTTCTTTGGCAGTCCAAAAGAAATTTAAATTAAGTACTTTTGGATGAGAGAGAGTTAAAAAGCAAGATTCTGATGGGCTCATTACAGTTTATATGTGCTAAGTTTGATTCCTGGCTGCTCTGATCAACTTCTTACCAGGCTATCCCAGGTAAAGCCTTTGTCTAAGATGGTGGTTGTAGCTGACAGTTGTATGAAGAGTTGATTCTTTATTAGTGTAATAAATTGATGATGTGGGGATCTGTTTGATTCCAGGATAGGACTAGTCTTTGTGGTTAATGACTCGGAGGACGTTGATGGGCTTCAGGATCCTGGAGTTGCCCTCCTTAGGACATACAATTATGTGGCACAAGAAATGGACAACAATTATGCTTTCCAGACTGTTATGTCTGTAAGTCTTAATTTAAAGGGGAAATTAGTGTTTTAATATTTTCCATGTATGTAAGATTATCTTAATGGGCTAATATGTAAATAAGGGAAGGAATTGTTCTTTGACTTGGTTAGTGTTCAGAGTATCTGCAGATACTGGTACCACACAATACATGTGTCTTTGTAAAGTGCTTCTGAGCTAACTTTAACAAGGAGACTAAGTTTAAATGTGACAACACTTTTGCATGTTTTTCTGATCCTGTCCCTTTGGTCATTCTGTCAGTGAGTTCTGAACTGCTGCATCCCTTCAGTATTATAATTTGGAACTGTTCCAGCTGCATGCTTTTGTCACATTAAAGGATAATAATAAAGGTGCTGGTAAATGCACTTTACCTGTGGTTTGACATTTGTACAAATTGGCAAGCTGGGGCATTAAATTGCTGGTGACTTAAACACAATGAGTTTTATTCTTTTTTTTTTTTTGGGTATATATTTGTAACTCAAAGTAAAATCTTGTGCCTTGAAGAGGGAAATAGTTATCTACTTTACATGTGAGGTCTGTTGTATTGTATATAAGCATATCCCAAGTTCTGAAGGGACAGGTGTCTCCTCTGATATACTTTACTTAAGGCTTTTTTCCCCAAAGCACTACTTTTTCCCCTCAAATACCTTTTCTAATTAAAGATGCAAGTTATTATGTAAAGAAATATCTATTTACCTTCTTCCAGTCTCATTGGAATGACTACGAGGTATAGCAAGATAATTGGAAGGGCTGCAAGTGCTTAGGAGCTGTTTACTGCAGCTAATAAACATGGATATATGTTGTGCAATCTGGCTGTTAATAACTTATTACAGCTACTGTAATACAGGTGACAGCCTACCTTGATAAGGACTGAGGCTTTACAGTTGCAGCTGTAAACTTGTATTCCCCTTTCAGATATATAACAAAGTCAAAACAGGAGATCAGCTGAAAGTGGAGCACGTGGTTAGTGTTCTGGAGAAACAGTACCCTTATGTGGAAGTCAACAGCATCCTGGGAATTGATTCTGCCTATGATCAAAACAGAAAGGTAAGAATTCATGAAAGAGCTTTTTTCCACCTTTTTTTTGCTTAAACACCATTTTGAAAATCTGGTTACGTACAATTTCTTGATCCAGTTCTCTTTACCAACCAGGTAACTATTTTGTTATCACTTTGGGTGACTTCTGGTAATACCTCACTAGGTATTTATGCTCAGCACAAGCTTTATATAATATACATAATATAAATGTATGTAACTCATAAGTCCATACTTTCATCCTGGAACACAGACTTCAGTAGAGTTTAAAATTGCTAGGAAAAATCAAGGTAATGGAAAGGTTTGTAAGAAAACCAAGAGGCTTAATGTTGGGAGGGATTGGTGTGGGGTTTCTGTGTCAGTATTTGAATACTCTGTGAGATTAAGCCATGATGATGAATTCAAAATGCCTTTCCTATATCAAGGCATTCAACAGTCTTCTGCAAATAATTCTTGAAGTTATTTTTAGGGCTGATACTTTTCTGTGTGGAGAAGGTTGGGAGAACAAATCACCACTGGACCACTTATGTGTGAGATGAAGCAGATTTTATTTGAGGTTCTGTAGGGGAATGTTTCTGGTTTTGTTGAATATTCTAAAGCAAATAATGAAAGTACTGTAGCTGTGTAACACATGTGATGCTGCTGACATCTGTAAGTGTAAGGAATGCAGATAAAGGCTGATATGCACACATGCTTTCCATCCTCCATGGATATGGATACTATTTAGGATAGTGAAGGGAAAAGCCTTTTGAGGAAATGAAAATCCGTAAAAGTAAGATATTTTTGTATGACAGGAGAGGCCTCAACCAGCACCTTTAACCAGTAGAACCTGATTAACTTCTATCCCTAACAGAGTGTCAGAGACAGTGGATTTTGCAATAGTTACATGAAATAGGGAAATTTGTCTTGACATAATAACCCCCTGCTCCACAAATAAATATTTTCTCGCAGGTTTAAGAAACACATTCTTAAAAATATTAAGAAAATTCTCTACCCTGTCTTGTGTTACAGCTGTCACTGCTCACATTACATTTGCTTCCACAGGCAAAGTCAGATTTCTATTGTGCATTTTTTGCTATTACCACAAAGTGCTCACTGGAATTAATTCCCAATATGAACTTAAGGGAGTATTTTGCATTTACTGCTGGGTTACGAAGTAACTTTTTTTTGCTTTGAAAGTCGAGGACGTCTCGTGCATATAAGATACAGAGTCTTATGCACTGTGTAAAAATTAATATTCTCTATATCATACAGAAGCTGACAGGATCTCTTGGTGTGTTTAGAATAGACTTGTGGATCAGGCATGGCTCATTAGGAGCCATCATGGCCATGGGCTGATGAGGTAAAGTTGCTTCTTTTCCTGTCTTTAGGCAGCAAGAGCTTACTATGAGCAAACAGGTGTAGGCCCTCTCCCTGTTGTGCTGTTCAATGGAATGCCTTTTCAAAAAGATCAGCTGGATCCTGATGACCTGGAAACCATGACAATGCACAAAATCCTGGAAACCACAAGCATCTTCCAGCGAGCCGTGTACCTGGTAGGTGCTGAGTTCACCTGTGGCTCTAGAGAGAAACTGGATTTGGAAAAACTCATTCACAAGTCCCTGAATACATAATATTCAAGAAAACTTGACTTGCATCATTGCCTTTTGCTTTTTTTTTTGAAGTTATCTGAGGCAGTTATATATGTGAAGTAACAAATCCTGCTTCTTTCATCTCTCCTTCAGGGTGAACTGTCTAATGACCAAGATGTGGTTGAGTATATCATGAACCAGCCTAATGTTGTTCCAAGAATTAACTCAAGAATCCTAACAGCTGACAGAGAGTACCTAGATCTGACAGGAATGAGTAAGAGATGCTTTTAATTGCATTAAACCTGAAGTATCTGACTCAAAGACTTTTGCTGTCTCAGTGGAAAGCTCTAGTGGCAAATCACTAACACCACCCCCAGTGATGCTTCAGCCCTGGTTCAGGGGAGGTATTATGTACAACAGCAACTTTAATGTCCACATCTTTTCAAAACAGGAATTTGGTTTGATTTTATACAAACCTTTGGGGGAATATGACTCATAAAGTTGAGAAATTAGTAATGCTGGGAAAAGCCAAGAACAGTCATATAATGCATATTTTATATGACTGCACAATGCACAATGTTTATGATGCATAATGTTTTATACAGCACTTGTTTCTTAGTTCTGACCTTCTTTTGAGCAGGGGTTAACAGTTATTTCTGGAATTACTTCAGATGTAGCAGAACTTTTCATGGCTAAATGTTTGAACACCCAGTGCACTGACATTTTAATGACAGTAAAACTGCCTTTTTGAGTTGCTTAAAAAATAGTAACACAGGGGATTTTTAGGTATATATTATTAACATTTTTTAGCATCAACTAAGTGAGACTTGGACAATTTTATTAACTTCTACCTATAAAATATGCAATGCAGTTGTTAAAGGAACTTGTGAGACAACAAAATGTATTTCTCGGCCTGTGTATTAACAGTGGAAATGAGACATAAAAAGCAGTATTACAAGGAACCAAATGGGATGTGTTCTTAATGTTCTGGTAATAGCAGTGATTTTTCTTTCATTTTAAGTGGACTAGTTGCTTTGGCATCTTACACTTGTTCTCTTCCTCAGATAACTTTTTTGTGGATGACTTTGCTCGATTTATCACGTTGGAGTCTAAAGATAAGACAGCTGCTGTTGCAAACAGCATGACCTACTTAACAAAGAAAGGTAACATCTGCAGTGCATTATGAACCCAAATCTTATGTGTGTTTCCAAGCACTTCTCAACACACACTCTGAGCCTTGGTCAGGCCTGTAGGCAATGATGCAATCTAAATGTTAAAAAGAAGATTTTTTTTTTTTTTAATAAGACATGACATCTGCATGGAACAAGAATGTTCCCCTCTTTAAACCCAGCCCAACTTTTTACTCAATAATGAAGTCCCACCCGACCTGCTCTCACTGTCGTGTGACCTGCAGAAATGCAGCAGGGTAAGCTCTGATCCTGCAGTGACAATGACTAGAAAAATATAAAAGGGGTTCTAGCTCTCTGTCTCCTCATTCAAAATTCCTAAAAGCTACATGGATTTAGAAGATAATTGTCACTGCCCATTATATAAGACAGCACCTAAGGTGATGGGAGCTGTTTTTATTGCCCCAGTGTACGAACTGCTTTTTCAGTGACAGTATTGTCACAGTTACACATAAAGTCTCCCATCAGTGTTAAAACTCAGCTGTGGCTTTCAGTGTAGGAAATGCATGCATAGATATGATACAGAACCTAATCAGGCTTACTCAGACATCATCAGGCTTTTCCTGTATCCATTTCAATTAGGTATCAGAAATAAGCTGCTGTCATTTGACTCAGTTCCTCTTATTCCTGACTGTCCCAGGTTTCCCCAGCACTGTCTCCAGCCACTGTCAGCTGTGTGCACTACCTGAAATGTTCCCAGTGTTCTTTCTGTCTTCTGTTTGCCCTTGGTTCATGTTCTGTCACTTGGATCTGATCAAGTTTCTTGTTTTGCCTTTGTAGAGCATTAATTAAACCCACACCTCTGCATGCTCATTTGAAAGTGCATTGATTTGCAATTTCATGGCTTGACATTTTTGGGTCACTGCCTTTTCTGTCTCTTAAGATATTTAATAACTGCTACCTGATTACAGTAATGCTGTAGCACGTTTATTTTCTAAAATAATAGGGAAGTTATAAGTATTGCTGGCTCAGCAGCAGCACTGATAAAGCACTGCCATGCTGGTGTTTAAAGAGGGAAGATAAGAGAAAGGGTCACATCCAAGTCACAGTGGTATGGCAGTGTTTCTAAATGGGCTTCAGAATGATGCCCTTGCCCTACCATGTGAAACTGGTAGTATGTAGAATAACTAATAGTGTAGCATGAAAATAAAACATCCATCTATCTGAGGAGAAGAAAAAGTTAGAGCTTTATTCCAATAAAATCAGCACAAATTTGCTGCTTGTTGGATTTGAACTGTAGTGATTCACCTATGCCCAGTACAGTGCTGCAGCTGCTTGATACACATGGGGATTATTATCAAATTATTAATGTCTCTCTTCTTTCCCCCTTTCCTTTCTGCTTTTTGACCAGGAATGTCTTCCAAGGAGATCTATGGTAACTCATGCTTTGGCATTTCATGTGTTGTTCTGGGAATTTTTGCTTCCTTTTTAACTCTGGCTTTAGAACCAGCAGGGAATGAAGCAAGCTGTTGAAATGCATGATTGCTCCAGCACTTTTGACTCTATACAAAACTGATTTTGTAAACTAACATCTTCAGTGGTAGGTCTGTACCCTACTTGGAATCAGCGAGTTATTTACAGATTTCTTTATAATTTGTAATTAAAAAGGCAGCAAACAAACAAAAACACTAAAAGAATCCAGCTTAGGAAGAGTGATGCATGCTGACCCACGTGGGTTTTCCAAATGACCTAATGAAAACTAATGTATCAGTACTATTATTCTTGTCTTGCCAGGCTTCATAGCTTAGCTTCATCCATAACTTTCCTATGGAATTGTACTCATTTTGAATTCTTTGCATGTGCATCGTAGTTTACCTCCAAATGATGAAAAATGGAAGCTTTCCTTCCCTTCACCCTCCAACTTCTCCTACCTTTTTTTTTTTTTGTAATTGCAGATGATTCCTTTGTTAGACCAGTTACTTTTTGGATTGTTGGTGATTTTGATAAACCTTCAGGGAGGCAGTTGTTGTATGATGCCATTAAACATCAGGTGGGTAATGTTTTCACTGGAATGGGTTAGCAGTGCTAACACAGCACTTGGTAGAATCTTCAGAAACACAAGTTGTGCTTCTTCCTGTGGTATGACCTGACAAGACTGGTTTTCTCTGCAGGGTCTCCAATTTCCAGCCTCATCTTTTTTGTAGGGGCTGAAACATCCCTGATCTTGTGTTAGGACAGAATTCCCTCTTGGCACTTTGCTAATACGATAAAGATGTTGTTTTAAGCCCATGGTGTTAAACTGAAATGTCTGTGTTTCGGTTTGGAGATGAGCATAAGCTTTGCTCTCTGCTTTGGGAGGACAACTGAATGATAAAAGCACACAGCTTACTGCTAAATCACTGGTTTGCCAGACCTTAGTGGTGGCCATAGTCCTAAATCTCCTGGGTAGCACAGGATTATCTAGAAGATTCCTGCCACACTGGTGCCTATACATAAGCTAAATACTTGATGTTAAATTAGTTCATTCATAGTTTTAACCTTGTGCTGTTACTTTCCCAAATTTAGAAGCTGATTTTCTGTTTAAGAAATGCAAGGCTTTTGCTGTAGTGTTATTACAATAGATGCATTCCTCTCATTTAAAACACACCTGCAGCCTAAAACTTTCCCAATGCTTGTTTTGTTAAACACAGAAATCCAGCAATAATGTTCGAATTAGCATGATTAATAATCCTAGTGAAGATCCCAACAGCCAGAACACGGTTGTTGCTAAAGCCATATGGGCAGCTCTGCAGACACAAACGTCAAATAATGCCAAGAACTTCATCACCAAGATGGCAAAAGAAGAAACTGTGAAGGCACTGGAGGCAGGAGCTGACATCCTGGAATTTGCTGTTGGGGTAAGCCTGTCTGTTGGCATTTGCAAGGATAAGGTGCTTTGCTTGTCCCTCTAATGACTTTTTTAGTGTGCTAAATTCATATGCAGAAGATGCAATAACAATGGAGAGTAACACTGTTGGGTTTGCTGGTTTGGTTTTTTTAATCTCTTACAACTAAACTTACCTAAATATAACAGTCCATTGAAACATAAAGTAAATCCTCATAAACATCAAGGCTACATAACTTTGAAAAGTCAAAAGAAATGTGGGTTCAGGGATCTCTTGAAGTGAGTCAGGTTTTTTTTGGGTGGTTAAGAGAGGGATTTTTTTTTTTTTTTTATAAAGCTGAGGAAAAATTACATTTCTCAAAGCACGTTTAAAAAATTTAGACAAGACTCACTTAAAAAGAATGGAACTGGTCTAAGTAGCTGTGACCCTTCACAACAGAAGTTGGGGTAATGTTTGAACGTGACAGGCAAAACCTAGGTTTAAGACAACAAAGAAAAGGGGACCAGGGATCAATTTTAGCAGGATATGAAGATGTTCTTGAATATAAACAAAAAGGTGCATTTTAAAAAGAGTGCAGAGGTCAACATTTCTTCCTATTTCAATGTCAAGTATTCTTATCTTTCAGGGTATGGATACCAACATTTTCAAAGAAGCCTTTGAGTCTCCCAAGGTGGATTTTATTCTGTCCCATGCAATGTACTGCAGAGATGTTCTAAAGCTGAAGAAGGGGCAGAGGGCTGTGATCAGCAATGGACGGGTGAGATCAATCAGCAGATGGTAAAAGAGAGATTCCACATGTGGGAAAGAAGCTGATGCTGAGCAGCAGAGTGTAGGGACCAGACCCAGGAGTCTCAACCTTTTTCAAGTCTCAGCAGCCTTTAGGATTTATACAGACCTGTGTGACTTTTTCTTTGTACTGTGTGCAGTTAGTTGTTGGTGTTTGGTACAAATTCAGATCTCTCAATAACAGAGTTCCTTTCATTCTGGCAGTGAATTGAGTCCAGGGGTGGAAAAGGCTGGTGAATTTGAAAGACTGTGCTCCTTCAGTTCACTGAACAAAATACTGTTGTATCTGGCCCTGACCACAGTGCCTTGGTCTCTGCCACCAGCTCTTTTTATGATAGTTTATCTTAGAGTAGATAAATGATGTTACAATAGTATTTCACTGCAAATAATGAAGCCCAACTGTGTACAGCGTTGTGTTTTCTTTTGTCATCTGCTTCCTAGTTAGGAAAAAACCCATGCTGGTCCTAGTGGTTACTGTATACTTCAATGGGTTAAAGGTCTCAGGTGGTGAGTTTGGTATTCTATTTCTCTCACTAGCAAAATAGCAAGAGTTTTCTAGGTAGCTTTTAGGCTTCTGAAGGCTAGAGGAGGGAGATTTGCTGGAGTCTTGCTAGACTACTGGAATTGGCCTGGTATTCTGTTGCCCCTTCCAGATGTAGTATTGCATGTATAATTTAGTATGCATTTTATGCCTTAGTTTGAGACTCCTGGCTCTAAATAGCTAGATTTACTTGTTAAACTCTGCTGCCATTGACATTAATACTAGCCTAAATAGATCGTTACCACTGAGATTAGGATGGAGTATTTAAATACATCTTTGAATTTTGTTACAATGTAGCCTTTACCTAATAATGGTGATTTTGGCTTTTTTTTTTTTTTTTTTTTTTTTTTTTTTTTTTTTAGATTATTGGCCCATTAGAGGACGGTGAGATGTTCAATCAGGACGATTTTCATCTCCTTGAAAATATCATACTGAAGACATCGGGCCAGAAAATCAAATCTCAGATCCAGCAGCTGGGATTTGAAGAAGATCTGTAAGTAAATGTGAGGAGGCTTCTGAAAAGGTGCTGGGACTCTGATAACATGATGTCTGCAGCCTGGAGAAAGCTTTGTTGAGTACACTCTGGATGGGTGCTACACTTGGGTTCCTGTGGTCAAGGCTCAGCTCTTCAGAGGGCAAGTGAGAAGCGAAAAAGGTGTAAATTATTTGGTCTAAAGTGCTTTAGTGACTTTTGGGTAGTTACCATGTCCTGGAGCTATGGAGCTGTGACTGTCCCCCAGATTCAGGAGGCAGTTCTGGCACCCTGACTGCACCACTGTGCTCACAGCTCATCATTCTTGAGCCATCATCTGTATCTAGTGCCATGGCTGGTCCATTGCCTTGTGCTGGAGATTGGAGGAATTGTGTTGGCTGGAGCCTCACTGACAAGCAGCAAGAAACTGGGAAAGTGCCTGAGTCTGCTGGAATTTACTATGGAACTGTTAAAAAGGACAGGAAACTGTAAAAGCAGTGGTACTTGCTGAGCTAGTCCCTGGATCACGGCAGCAACAGCCTGTGGTGTTACCTGAGGAGTCCAGGAGGTGGATTCTTGGATTAGGGGCAGGGAAGGATACAGGTGAAGTTTAAAAATCCCTTGGTGGTGATGCATTGTACAGGGGCTGGCTAAATCGACTGCTGTGCTCAGCTGGGTGACGTTCCATTCAAGGTTTAGTTGTTTGCTGCTGTGAGATGAGTTATGAAGTGGTATAAACTGCATTTATTCTTCAAAATGCTTTCTGTACAGGATTACCTTTTGGCTCGTCCAAAGGGCAGAGAAGCCTAACTTCTCATTAATCCTAAGGCCTTCAGACTATTACTGTTTTTTTCCCTGGATAAATCTTACCTGACAGTGTTTTAAAGCAAGTACCTCTAATATGTCAGGGCTCAATAACTCATTGGTTACTACAGTAGATTTAAAAGGAGAAAGAAGGGAAGCACATGAGACACAGGAGTACCCTCTCTGAATTTGTTTGTTGTTTAGTTAAGTGCTTCTTGGCTTGTCAACATAAAAATTATTGTAGTAATATATTTCCCTATTAGTACTATGGAATCACGTAAACTGCTTTTAACTTTTTAAACAGAAACCCTGGGAAAAGAGGAAGAGATGAGAAAATGGAAATCATACCATTTGATAGTTATTGCACAAGGCATAGGGGTGAACTAATCAAAAGAAAGTCATCTTGAAGTTCAGAAGAACAGGAGTCCCCTGTGTTTGTGTGTTGGAGCTCAGAGCTATGGAGATAGTTTCTCCCATATTAAACAGCACAGTTTTCTGTGGTGCTGCTTGATTGTTGAAGGCTGGTGGTCAATTATGTTAAGCGTGAGGTCTGTTCTGCAGAAGTCTTATGTTATTCTGAATCCTAGGAGAACAGGTTTTAACAGCATTCCAAACACTTCTGCATCCATTGCTATGTTGGAAATAGTTTGAATATTAGGGTAGTTTTGGACAGAGCAGTGGGTTTGGGGTGGTTTTTTCAGGTTTGAATGCTGCAAAAGTTTTTCAAAAGCTTTTGAAATCATCAGCTGCATTGGAAAAATACTGTAGAACTTGGCAGATTTCACGAGGCTTGTGGGTCTGGTATGAACAATCTGAACAGCTGCAAATCTATGAGACTTAACTCAGGAAAAGCTGACAGACCTTTAAGTTACAGTACTGCTTCTTGGCAAAAGCACGATGTACAAATCACTTTTCATTGAACTTTCAAGAGGTTTTACATCTTCAAGATGGAATATGTTCTTAAAATGCGAGACTGGAAATTTATGGGAATAATAAAAAGGCAGAAGTTGTCAAAAGAATTCTCTTTTATGATAGGACCACTCTCAAAAGTTTCTCCACATACAGAATTGCTTCCTAGTGCTTCGAGTTGCAATGTAAATTGGGAAGATCACTGTGGAACAGGGGTTGGTGCAGTTCAGGAATGCAGTGCCTGTAAGATAGTTGACCCCTAAAATGCTGAAATAACCGTAAAAATACAGCTGTCCTGTATTTGTTAGAGTTAAACCCTGTGGTACCCTCAGTAATAAGACTGCAACCTGTTTAAATTACTGGCAGATTAACCCTTAAATGTGTTTAATTCTTCAGAGCTTGTGTAGAGAGGTAGTAGAAGTGTTTGTGTATCTGAATTCCCTCTGCCTTCTCTTTTGCTGCTGACTGGCAGAAATGTGAGAAGTACAGGTATTCTTTAAATATCTGCAAACCTTTCTTTTCCTTCTTTTCAGGGCAAGTGACTTGGTAATGAAAGTGGATGCTCTTCTTTCTGCTCAGCCAAAAGGAGAGGCAAGGATTGAGTATCATTTTTTTGAAGAACAGTACAGGTATAGGATTTCTGGCATTTGCTGAACAATATGCTTCTCTGCGTCTTTTAATTTTCCCATTGTTTTATCTTGCATTTAGTTACTAAAAAAACCCCAAGTAGCAATAGGAGAGTCCCCAACAGTTTTCAGGAAGAAAAGTTTCCAGAAATTAATTTTATCTGCCTACCTATCTTTATACACACATATATATATATACCTGTTTTTTTCTCTATCTAGTTTCAGAAGGTGCACAGCATTTAAGCAGCAATTCTGAGTTCAGAATGAGATGGACAGTAATGTTTTTTATATGTTTATCCATATGTTTGATACTTCAGAATTATGTTTTCTTCTGTTTAGTGCAGTTAAACTGAGACCAAAAGAGGGGAGACATACTTTGATGTTGTGGCTATCGTTGATCCTGTGACCAGAGATGCTCAAAGACTTGCTCCGTTACTTTTGGTATGTGGGCAGTGTCGTAAATGCACTTCAAAAGTTTGTCTCAGTTCTGTCATTTTGAAATGTTCATCTTCCTCCTTACCTGGGTGGTGAGCAGTGGCCTTCTAGTAGTTGAGTTGCACAATACATTTATTAGTGGAAAAACTAATTAGGCTGTGCTACAAACGAACAAAATCGTGCTCAGGTGTTGTCCTGAGAGCTTTTAGTTTCACAGATAAACAGTTTAGTTTGCAGTGACTGTTTTTGAGGAGGAAACTCTCAGCATGCTATAAAGAATGTCTGCAATGGGAGGAGCAGGTAACTTCTTAAAACCACCAATTAAAAGCTGGGTGTGGTAAAGCAAATCATGAGAAGGGAACGAGCAGGTAACATGCCTCCCTGAGGTCCTGTTTATAAGAGCAGTGGTCAGCTCTCCTCATCAGCATTTTAAGGGATGTCTTTTTCTCATTACTTTAGGTTTTGAACCAGTTGATAAATATGAACCTGAGGGTGTTTATGAACTGCCAGTCCAAACTTTCTGACATGCCACTGAAAAGGTAAGCAATTCCATGCCAGGGTTAAGGAGAGAAGAGTAAAACCTGTTGGAACGTGCAAGCACAGGAGCATGGTCAAATTCCTCTAGGAAGTGTCAATAACTGCTTTGAGATAATTTATATAATAGCACAATTTCCCACAGAGAATCTGGGAATTTGTGGACAGTATGAGGTAATTCTGCTGGTTTACAAGTTGAGTGCTTTTATTTATGTATATAAAAAATTAAATAATTTGCTAATCTTAGTGACTGAGTCTTGCACATTTTTGTTTGGTCCTTTCCATCCTCCAGATGGAAATTCTGACCTGTTCTAAGGTCAACACAAACTGTGTTGCTTTAGACAAAGCCTTGGAGGCCAGGGAAAGCTGATGCCAACTGCAAGTTCAATGAGTAAATATTAGCCAAGTTTGGCAGAAATATGTTCTAACGTTTTCTTTCTGAAATTTCAGCTTTTATCGCTATGTTTTGGAGCCAGAGATTTCCTTCACAGCAGAGAATAACTTTGCTCCAGGACCTATTGCCAAGTTTTTGGATATGCCCCAGTCTCCACTGTTCACTCTGAACCTAAATACCCCCGAGAGCTGGATGGTGGAGTCTGTCAGAACCCCCTATGACCTTGACAATATTTATTTAGAGGAGGTAAGAAAAATCAGTATTTTCCTGCTACTGCATTTAAATGGTGGTATTTTTCCAGGGCTTAGTTTTGTTATGGAAAAGAAATGTAGAATTTTAAAATGCCAATAAACATAGAACTGTGGTTATTTGCAGCCCTCTGAATTCTAGGAGGGATGCAGGGAAACCTAAGCTCCCTGACAGCAAGATTGCTGTTCTCCATTCCTCATGGAGGCCTGAACCAAAGGTTTAAAAATACTGGAGGCGTGAAGCAGGACCTGTGCCTTGCTCCAAGAAGCCACCAAGCTGGTTTCAGCCACCTGTTCATTTTCACAGCTTTTGTAACTGGCAAACATTCCTATGGCCCATGAAAGGACATGAAGCATCAGTACAAGAGTAAAACCACGCAGCAGAAATCTGCTCAGTTGCTGCAGGTTCAGGAGCTCCCTGCTGTTTGAACGGGCCTAGAACCACTCTGTTAAACTGTGGATCTGGGCAGTGCTGCCCTGCTTACACAGGGATAAATAAGGAAAAACCTGCTATGTGTAATGAGACTGTCAAACCCCTTACAAATAGGCCTGTGGAAAATCAACAGTCTGTACAGCCTTGTGGTCATTGCAGACATGGGTTCCTTTCTCACTGACTGTTTATTGTTAGTCTCCTCTTACTTTTGCATCTCTGATATTGTTTGGGGGTATGATGCAGTCTTGTGGTATAGTCTGATATTGCTAATCCTGTCCTAGCTGTTCAGAAATCTAGAAAACTGCGTGTGTTGTTGTGTGGTTTGGTTTTTGGTTTGATATGTCTGGGTTTAGGACTTTTTTTGCTTTTCATCTCTTAACTGTAAAGCCATTAACGAACCACTGATATTGCTACACATTTCAAGCCTCTGATTCTCAAGCCCACCCCTTAGATTAATTGAAAGCCTGAGAGAGGGGGAGATTAAATGCTTCAGGCATTCAAAGTGCCATCCTGAGCTTCCAAATAAACAGCAGCTTTACTTTTGCAGGTGCACCATTTCCAGCTCCCAATATCCAGTCTGTTGGTGCTGTAGCAATTAAACTGTCCTTTTGGATGTGCATGAGAGAAGATGCTTTGTGAGATTAGACTAATATTCTGCTTATGTACTGTCCTCAGGCTACATCTGAATTTAGCCTGGTAGGGACCCAAGTTTTTTGGTTTTTGGGGGGTGTTTTTTTTATTCTTCTTTTCTTGGCACTTTAGTTTAGTGTAGAGAAAAAGAAAATGATATTTCTTGACAGTACCGTACACACTGTAAGAGTAACACAAAGCAAAACAAAATGCTTATTTCCAATGGTTAGTAGTAGGTGAGACCAGTTTTAAACAGATTTACAAAATTCTGGAGCCCATCATGTACTTTTTATGAAACACCAGAGTACATTCTCTGGTAAATGTTAAAAAACCCTCCAAAAATTGTGGAATAGAGCAACGATCCTTCCCTTTTCTTATCCTAGCATATTACCAGTTGAGATTCATATTCATTTGGTCAGGGTCACTCTTAACAATATTTATGTGAAATTTGTCACTAGAAGGAGCTGAGATCTTGGAGGCTTTCTAGATATTTGTTTAATAATAAAATTACTCTGGTAAAATTATGACTAAAGGACTAAAACTTGGCACTCCAGGGCTAGTGCTGCAGCCAGCAGTATCTGTTCCTTCCAGGTGGATAGTGTTGTAGCTGCAGAATATGAGCTGGAGTATCTGCTGCTGGAAGGCCACTGCTATGACATTACCACTGGGCAGCCACCTCGAGGACTCCAGTTTACACTGGGGACTTCAACCAGCCCTGTCATCGTCGATACCATCGTTATGGCCAACTTGGTGAGTGTCCCACTGAAACTGGCAACAACTCTCTGGTGCTCCAGTCAGCACAGCCACCTGCATAAACCCCTGAGGATGTTCTGGTGTGGGGGTTGTGGGTATGTGCTGTTGCTTGCACTCCTCAGCTGCCTCCAAACACAGAACACCACATTGTTTCTAACACTGAAACCTCGCAGTGTTTGTGCTGCCTCTTACCTTTTTCAAGATGAGCTCTTCTTCCTTCAGCTGGCTGAGAAGGGTCTTCTGGAATGCCTTAAAATGCTGACAATATTGCTAAGCAGCCTCTTTCCAGGGAAGGTCAGACAGCTGTTCTTCCTAGATGTGGTACCCCTTAGACCATCTGCTCTGGTACTCTGAGCCTTCAGCTGCTTGGCTGTCTTGTTTTGGGACCCACTTCTTCAGGAGATCTGTGGAACAAATAGAGAGAGTCAGCAAGTATAGCCAACATTGCAGAAAGCAAAGGAAGTGTGAAAGAATGGGAATTGCTTGTTTTTAGCTGAGAAAAGGTGCTGGAAATCCAAGCCTGTGATTGGTCCCTGCAGCTGCCTTTGTAAGGTCATGGCGTAAGGGATCAGTCTGTTCTCAATCTCCACACTGGGCTGGGGGAGAGGGAAGGGACTGAAAATATGGCAAAGGAAGTAAGTCATTGGAATGTGTTCCTGAGGTGTAATGTTAGCGAAAAACTGGAGTAAATTGCCTCCTGTGGTCAGTTTTCTTTCTTTTTTGAATCTTTATATGTATTGAAGAAAAAACAAGGAAAAAATATCCACTGATGCTAAATACTGATTTTAAAATTTTTACACTCATTTTCTCTTTGTCTGTGACTTTTCTTAGCCAGAGTGTATCCCAGAATGATGTAGTAGTTCTTCCTGTAGAAAGGAAGGTGTCCCTTGTTTTACATGTGAACACATTGTGTTGTGTTGGGAAGTAAAGATTAATGGCTCAGAGGTGTCCTTTTTCTAATTAGCTGAACCAGAGTGTAGGTACCACAGGGTACAGTGCTCTGTCTGGGAGTTCTCTTCCTCAGCTCAGTGTCTGTACTGTGCAGGGGCATCAAGAGACCAGGAACATGCCTTGTACCTTTTTAAAAATATTTTTTAATTTTTTTTTTTATGGTAGACTGGCTTACATAGGAAATGCAAGCATTTGGAGCCACAATACAAAACTGGATGGGCCACTGGAGCTGTTGATGTCTTCTATAGGTGTAATAATCTAAATCACAGAAAAATATCCAGATCTGGAATCTGAAGCTTCAATAAGAATACAATATTTAAATTTCATTTTGTAATTTTTTAGGTTCTGTATAAGAGGTATCTCATAACATATGAATTATGTTACTGTTTCCTGCTGTAGATAAAATACCAGTCTGTTATGCTTCAGAATTCCTTTATATTTTGTTGTGTACTGCTGTGTAGTTACCAACCAGTGTTTTGAAATTCCCTCACTCCTTCATGAAGGCAAGCTTTTGCAGAAAAAGACTTTGGGGTTGCACTGTTCCCATCAGAAAACTCAGAAAGGTTTTCTCTCATCTAACAATGCTACACCTCCACATACTCCTGTTTTGAATTTTGAATGGAATTTCTGGGGGTTTTCTCCTGTTCTCTGGGTTTTAAAGCCTCAAGGTTATGTTAATCAGCCAACTTACAAATAACTTTTCAGGTATAAAACGGTGAAGAAAAATACATGACTTAAATTTTTCTGCATTTGCACTTTCTGGAAACTGACAACGGTTCTTTTCACTTTACAGGGTTACTTCCAGTTAAAAGCCAATCCTGGTGCATGGACTCTCAGACTGAGAAAGGGCAGATCTGAAGATATTTACAGGATCTACAGGTAGGACAGTATAAGAAATCCTGCAGTCTTTTTCTTGAGAAACTTCTCAAGTAGATAGGCATTATAATATGTGAATCTAATAGTTCCCCTGCCAAAGTGTACTAACCTAAACAGCAAATGACATTTCATACTGAATATAAGTTATACAAGATGAAATTAATTTAAAAAACCAGTAAGTGTGCTGAAATACAGGTATTTGTTACTTTGTTGCATATCTCAAACGTGTTTTACAACGCTAAGGCTTAATACATGTAGAAAAACGTGCAGAAGAAGTAAAAACCGTATTTCTGCTTTGTAGTAAAGGTATTTTACTGTATTTTCAGCCACGATGGCACAGACTCTCCGCCTGAAGCCAGCGAAGTTATTATCGTTCTCAATAACTTCAAGAGCAAAATTATTAAAGTGAAGGTGAGTTTGAAAACTAGAGTTGCTCTTAAAAAAGACTCTTGGACCAACAGTGGGGAAGAAACTGATTAAAGCCTGATCTCCTTCCCACAAGCCCACCCTTGAGTCAGTGTACACAAAGCTCACGTTACAGTGTCAGTGATAGAGAGCGTTATCTGTAGACTTGATTTGGGCTTTTGATAGAGGGGAGAATGACATGTAAGTGCTGTGCCTTTTGTATATCCCTGGGGAACAATTGTACTCTTGTTTTCCTGACTTAGCTGTGCTTGTGACTTCAGGAAAAAGCAGTTTTAGGTGACCTCTATGTGTCTGTGTGTCCACTGAGCCAGTATTTTATTTGTTACAGATAAACTTTATTTGTCTGGCAATACGTTTTCTATCAGTCTGACACAGAGTGTCATTTTATGTATTCATAATAAAATGTATTCATGAGAATACATTTTAAAAAAGATTAAAATGTTAAATTGCTAATCTACTGTCTCTTAGGATTGCCAACCAGGTAATGACATAGCTGAGAAGTTTAGAGGACAACTGATAGATAAGTGATGGCTACAACACAGCCAGTTCACACTTCCTGACAGCATTTGCTTGTGCCTGAGTATTTCTGGAATGTTCTCCTGATTCACTGCCTGTGTATCTGCTTTGAAGTATTTTTTTTTATTTGTTTGGTTTGGTTTGAGGTGTGTATGTGTGTTGGTTTCTTTGAGGGTTTTTCTTTGCCAGTCTCAATCATCAAGGTTGCTCAGTAAACACCTCTTAGGAAAGCATTTTAACCATTCAGACTAACAAGCCTTTGGTTTCCAAAAGCAGCTGTGGAAGCCCTTTGGAAAATGTCAGTTCATTAGTAAGCTGTTTTCCCAGATGGCTTAGGTTACCTGTCAGCTCATGGGGCATTATTCCAACAGGTACAAACAGAACCAGTGTCAGGATAACATTCCATAGCTCTTTGCCCAATATATGGATCCACTCACTAAGGCCATGTTATGCTTTACAGGTTCAGAAAAAGCTCGATATGATGAATGAAGATCTACTAAGTGATGGCACCAATGAGAATGAATCTGGATTTTGGGAATCTCTAAAATGGTAAAACTAATTCAGTGATAACCTGCAAGTCTCTTGAAACTGTAAAACTATTTGACAAAGCCATTATGTCTGTGATATTCCACAGGTACCTATTAAAACTGCTTGAACTTAGGGCTGTCTTTCACAGGACTCCTTTGTTTCTAGAGGCCTGGGCTCCTGCTCTGCACTTTCCCCTTCCCCTTCATTCCCCCCGCTGCTACTTGGGAGCCTGAAAACATTGTTCCTTCCCAGGAGCTGCACCTCAGCCAGTACTCCCTCAGTCATCTGTGAGCTACTGGGCCTGCCCTGTCTGTGTGCACAGCCCTGTGTCCTGGGGGAGATGCCCTGCACGGCAGGGGGATGACACTGAACCCCACGGACCAACTGTGTTAAACCAACACTGTAGGCATTTTCTATATCTGCAGCCTTTCCTGAACACCTGGCCCTTGCTGTCTTGTCCTTCATATAACCATATTTGTCCTTTCAGGGGATTCACAGGAGGACAGAGGAATGAAGACGTGAAACAGGATAAGGATGATGTACTAAACATATTCTCTGTGGCTTCAGGACATCTGTATGAGAGATTCCTACGGTTAGTTCAGAATTTATAATCCAGGGATGTCAAGTGATAATGTGACCTGCTTTGCACAAAGAAAACGGGTAAAAAAAAGGGTATAAAAAAAAATCTACTGTATCATAGTAACTTTTGTCTGCATAACATTTGTGAGTTCAAAATAAACTTAGTTTAATAGATGGTATGTTGCTGTCCTAAATTTTCTCACTACAATATAACTGATGTATTGTTAAGAAGTTACAGTCATAGCTGCTTTGCAAAAAAAATCTGAACTTCTGTTCTCAAAGGACTGCGAAAGGCAACAGGTCACATACTCTCTAAGAAGTTAAAATATACAGGTGTGGGGGGTTAGTGACTTTGTAGATAAAATTAAGCAATTTACAATAGGTTGAAGCTACCCACTTTTCTTTGTGTGTGAAGGTTAGTTACCTGACACATAATTGCAAATAGTTTAATCATGTAAACCAGCAATTTGTAATTGTTACACAGCTCATCTCTAGTGGGTGGCAGCTTTTCCTGTAACTGCTTTATTTTTTTTTTTTTTTTGATAGCATAATGATGTTATCTGTGCTGAAACATACCAAGACTCCTTTAAAGTTTTGGTTTCTGAAGAACTACTTATCACCTACATTCAAGGTTTGTTACTAATTAGAAATTTATTCGGTGATGGGGGAAAAGATGCCACCATCTGCTTCTCCCTCCCTTCCCAATGGCTGTGCTGTACCAGCATCCCTTGGAATGCCTCACAGATGAGAATGTCAGCTGATGTGACAGTGGGGCAACTTGTTCCAGTAAAAAAATTCTCCCAATTATTTTCTCTCATTTTATTACTCCCACTTCCACCTGTGAAATTTTACGATTGGAGTAATGCATTCTTTTAAACTGGCTCCTAAGGAATTGCATGGGGAAATACACCAAAGTATTTAGTTGTCTTATGATAGTTGGCTTTACAGCTTGTACTGATTGTTCAGTTTGGGGCTCTGTCTTTGTGTGAAGGAACAATGAAACTAATTTTCTTTATGGTGTCATTTTCTAATATTCCATGCCTTAGACTGCACTCTGTCTCTTGTAATGCACTTTTGCTGCAGAGGAACAAAGAGCTAAGCTGCTTTTTTCACCTCCCTCTGCAGGAGTTCATCCCATACATGGCCAAGAAGTACAATTTCCAGTATGAGCTTGTCCAGTATAAATGGCCACGCTGGCTCCACCAACAAACAGAGAAACAGCGAATCATCTGGGGTTACAAGATCCTCTTTCTAGATGTGCTCTTCCCATTAGCTGTTGATAAAATCCTGTTTGTGGATGCTGATCAGGTAACACAGAGGCTGGAATTACTTGATCTTTTCCTTTTTTCTTTCTCTTTTTTTTTTTTATGGTATGTTTTTGAATGCAATTTTCACATTGTTGGAAGGGTTGCAAGTTTGAGCCCTTTACAGGTATCACTGGAGGTTGATTCTGTAACTGTAACAGTTCAAACCATCACAGCTTATGCTGATGTATCACCTTGGATAAATTTCCAGCTACACTGTTCTTACTTTAGACAGTTTTTTCTCTGTTTGCAAGAGATATTAAGGTATTTTTTTCCCATCAGGGTGGTATTTTTAGAGTAGTGTTAATGCCACATCTGTGTCAAAAAGCCTTCATCCCTGAAGGGGCTGCAAACTTCGAAGAGGAAAGAATACGAAGGATCACAGTAGAGTTCATGTATAGTGAGAACTCTTGCTGCATATTAACAGTTTTGCACTTCAGCTGTCAAACCAACCCCTATCAGAGTATTTCTAGCTCTTTTTATTTGCTCCAGCTCTAAGGGCAGGGGAGATAACACCTTTTGTGCTGTGTTTTTGTTCTACCTACACATAATGCTAAAGACTGCCACATGTAACAGGTAATTCTTCCTTTAACTGTTTGCTCAGTTTGAATTGAATCCTGACCAGCATTTCCAAATAACCCATGGCAGGCTTCTAGAAATAAAAATAAAATGTCCTTTCCCTTCAGATTGTGCGCACAGACCTAAAGGAATTGAGAGATTTCAATCTGGATGGTGCTCCTTATGGATATACTCCCTTCTGTGACAGCCGGAGGGAAATGGATGGCTACAGGTTCTGGAAATCAGGATACTGGGCAAGTCATTTAGCTGGAAGAAAATACCACATCAGGTACCAAAGAATTTGTTTTTTTTTTTTTTTCAAAAAAAGAGGGGGAAGTTTTGCTGCTACTTAGACTTGGCAGAAAATCAGCTGAGGTGTGTGATGCTGCATGAACCACGTTTTGCTTACTGTTACCTCTTTAAGGTTGCATGGCCTTGGAAGCTCTAGGGACACTGAAGTTGTTTTCAGTATGCTACAACTTTTACAGGTGAAGAACTGAAGCATTACCTAACAGACGTCTTCCTTTCTTAATAACAGGTGCTGGAAGAAGGGACTCCAAAGCTAAGATAGATTTGTTGAAAATTCTTTTTTTGTACATGCCAAGACCCTGTTAGAACTGCTTTCCTGCCTTGTAATAGGTCATCTGATGTGCTGCTACCATGAGATTGTTTTAGCATAGTCTGGTCTGTAGTGAGTGACCCCCAGTGCAGTGTCATGACTAATTGCACCATCTCCGTGCAGTGCTCTGTATGTTGTGGACCTGAAGAAGTTCAGAAAGATAGCGGCTGGAGATCGACTCAGAGGACAGTACCAGGGTCTCAGTCAGGATCCCAACAGTCTGTCCAACCTTGATCAGGTGTGTTTTATTGTGTCAGTTTTGGCTTACTGGGGTATGGTGGCAGGTCAGGACGTCTCCTTTCTTGGCCAAACTTCCATCACAGTCCAGATGACAGGTATTGATGGCAGTCCAGTATAACTGGTGGATGGAAACAACACCTTTCCCTTCCATGTCTTAAAACAACCAGATTTTCCAGTATACAGAAAAATAGCTAATATAATTGGATACTTGTTGCTTGAGCTGCACAACTCTGACTGCTTTACTGTGCACTGATTAATAACCTGGAGATAAGCCTTTTGCTGTGATGGATGGAAAAAATAACACAATGGTTTAATCAACCATGTCTAGTCTCCTGAACTGGTTCAATTCAGGTTTGATCCTGGATTCATATTACTGCTTTAATACTGTTTGCTAAATAACTACATTTCAACAAAGTAAGATCAGAAGTTGTAATACACAAGCTTTTTCCAGAGGACTTTGTTTGGAATGGGATGAGAGGTGGATCCATCACTTTATATTTGCACTGGGGGAAAAAAAAACCCCAAACCTCTTTACAAAAGCTAACCTTCTCAGTACAACCTAGTTGGGGGGGGGGGAGGTGTTGCTTCTCCCATCCTGCACCCTGTGGAAATGGCTACTAACTCTTGTTCTGCACAACAGGATTTGCCAAACAACATGATCCACCAGGTGCCAATTAAGTCCCTCCCACAGGAGTGGCTGTGGTGTGAAACATGGTGTGATGATTCCTCCAAGAAGAGAGCAAAAACCATTGATCTGGTGAGTGCAGGATGGCTTCCTCTCTCACACATCACGGTGAAATACAGCAACCAATTTTAGAGGCACTTCCCTACCTCAGCCTGTGCTGGGACTTACAGAAGCTGAAGTTACAAACTTGAGCGCTGAAAACATGTATTTCTCTTACCTGGAGCAGTGACATTATTATGAATTTGAAAAGAGACTTTGCACTGTTCTCTAGCTAAAATACAGACACATGTTGTTCCCACGATTAATCCCAGCAGAGGGAAGCATCTCTCTGTTCAGTGCAGAAACACTTTGTACACCTGAGGTGTCTGACCAGCCTGTGTGTTCTGTTTGCAGTGTAACAACCCCATGACCAAAGAGCCCAAGCTGCAGGCAGCCATGCGTATAGTTCCAGAATGGCAGGACTACGATCAAGAAATCAAACTGCTCCAGAGCCTTTTCCAGAAGGAAAAAGAAATGGGAACACCAGCTGAGATGCCAGGACAACACACACATGGTAACCTTTGGTTTCCTGCTTCTCCCTGCGTGTTGGACCAGTGTTGTGCCCTCCCTCACTTGTACCGTGCACGGGCTTGGATGAGGACCTGTTAAATAATCAGGTGGTGTAATGGGTGTAACTTAACATGATTCTGAAAGGCAGAGAACTGACTTGTTCAGTTCTGCTAAAGACCCTCACTGTTCCTGCAGTTTTATGTGCTTGGCCTTATCTTAACCCTTAAAGAAGCACCAGGGCTGTGAATTGTCCTTCGGGCACTGGTACCCTGCAAAGAACAAGTCCTGGGGGTTTATACTGGTTTTCAAACCAATCTCCCAATTCAAGGCAGCTGAAACTGAGTGCTCATTTTTCTCTCCTCTTTTACAGATCCAGCAGCACATGTGGAATTATGATCCATGCAGACAAATTGAAGTCAGACTGTTTCATAGACAATTTTTATATTGAAAGCTAGTTTTTTTCCAGTGTGTCTGCAAAACTGCTGAGTAACTGAATGGGATGATATATGCATTTTTTTTACTTGCCTTTGGGCTAATTTCTGCATATGAAATAGGATCTGGATTGCTGGAATTAGCATTACTGGTTTTTTGCACCTATGGTGGAGATGAAAGAGCCCATGGTGGAATTAAGCATTTCAGAAACAAAACTTCAAAATCCACTGGAAAAAGCCACAGCCTGTTCCTTCAACTCTCTCAACCACTGATGAAGATAAAGTTAGTCTCAGATCTAACTTGAGAATCTGGGAATTGCAGACATACCTAACCTCATCTGATGGAGATAATTTTTCCAGGTAACATTATAAGGCTTAGAATTATGCCTTGAATTTGGGACACTGTTTCATCTGCAAGTTGTCAAAGGATTGGAAATACTTCTCAGATTTGTTGAGTCTGCCCTTGATTTTGTAACAAATCCAGCATTATTTTGATTTTTCTATTTCCTGTCTTCATTTATCACCCAACTTTTGATGGTTTGGCTTAATGTAAAGCTACAATCTGTTTAAATGCCCATCCAAATACAAATGCCTAAGCTTAAAAAGAGAGGAAACATGGAATTTGGCAGCTGAGATCATCCTAACCCATCTGACTTGAATCAAAGTGCCCTCCCTTCCTTCCTGCTCGAAGTTTAAATCAAATCAGTCTGCAAAACCGGTAGGGCCTTACTGTGGCTGTGGTTCACTGATTCATGAATGTTTTTTTTGTTTATGAAAAATCTGTGGAAGTTGGAAGTTTATCATCATGTAAATTTCATTAACTTTATTTTTCTTCAAACAGAGACGTTGTCACATCAATAAAAACTTTGGAGTTCTTGGGTCTTAAGCTTTAGTTCCCACTCAGTCCTTTGATCATCCTGTTTTGCCTGCACACAGTCCCAATTTGATTTGGGGGTTTCTGGATATTTCACTTGCATTTGTTTACATTCTGTGCACAGACAAGAAAATATCTTCTTGCAGGGATTAATTATCCTGGGCTAGTTTTATCATTTATATTCATTAATTCATTTTTAAAGATGCTGCTGCCATAGTTCTGTTATGAACATACCAATTAAAAAAAAGGCAGCTCAAACCCCATCTCCCTCATTCTGTAGGATTATTGCTCCCTGTAACAGTGAGGAGTTGAAGAGTTGAAATGTAAGAGCTAAAAGTAGTACTTCTAGTACAAACTATGTAGTTCCCTAAGCAGAAATCCAAACTGAGATTACTTTTATGCCTCCCCTGTTATTATATAGGCAAATGTTCTGTGCTGTAAGACCCTCAACTTAATGATAATCCTGACTTAAGATATTCTTCTGGAATAATTGTATTATACATGCTGTCATGTTGTGGAGGAATCTGAAAGATGCCAGTTGGAGTATTTACGCTGTTCCATGGGGCGAGGGAACAGAAAAGCAGCTCTTGTGCAGCCAGCTCAAGCAAGGGCCCAAATCACCAACCCAAACTCTGAAAAAAGCACATCAGGAGAAATACCCCGAGTCCCTGAGCTCACATCACCAGCGTGGCTGGCCCATTACACTGCACCTGCACTTCTGCTGGGTACCAGAGAGTTCTGGGAAGGGATGGGAAAGGGCAGTTTATAATCCCCCTCTCCTGTGGGAAAGCCATGCAGGGCTGGAGAGCAAACCATGACCTTACAGAGTTACCAGCTTAGGTATTTCCCACTGGGTGGGGTTTTAAATTCAGATGGTCTGCCTGGCATTCTGGAAATTGCAGGTGAGGTGCCTTATACTTCCCATCAGAACTGTTCCAGTTAGGGATAAGCAGACTGACAGTAGAAGGACCTTTTTCTATTGTAAAACACAAAAAGGCACCTGCCAAGAAATTAATGACATACTCTGTCAATTAACTTCTTTTAAACAGCTGATAGAGCACAGGTGAGATTGTCCTTTCTGTGTTCAGCCTTGCTGGAGTACATGGACAAGCACAGGACGAAGTGGGCAGCAGCTGTTCACCACCATTCCATGCAGGGGTGGGGAAGGAAAGAACGTGCCCAAAGCCCTCAGAACAAGAGGAGCTTCTTGTGAAACATGACCCTCTCCTGTCTAGAACCATGCCTGTGCTTCTTTTTTCCCCCCTCAGTTTTATTAGAAGCTGTAAGATGAGAACAAAGCAACCTCTTAAATTCAGCACAACATTTGTTTGATTTTGAATAAGGAGAAAATATTTTTAAATTAAATGTCAGTTACAGAATTAATTTTTTTAATCATGCTCCTCCAGTCTGATAGTTAATGTAGGCACTTGAAAACCCGCACTGCATCCTTTTTTTTTTTAATTATAGGATCTAGCAAGTTATGGAGGATACTTTTGTTCCCTCTGGTTAACAGAGGCCATGCTCTTCTATCATCTGTTGTTATTAAGACATAAAAGTCATCTAACTCAGAACCAGTACAGAAAGAAACCAGAAACGTGCAGTGAGATTCTGTATCTTAGTAGTGCTTGTATTGTACTTGAGAACAGGCACAGGGCTCTTACAAAATGCACACGGTACTGATCATTCTGAATGTGAACTAATTCCATTTTTCCTGGAAAGCCACTATTTATTTGCACCCAAGAATAACAGTCATGAAGGGAATAATCACTTATTCTGGATCTGTGTATATGATTGCTCTTAGTGCTCAACTGGGCCTTAAAAGAAAAATATTTTGACAGCTCCATCTAGAAAGCAACTTGGAGTGAGATGCTTATTGAAATAGATCTGCTTCTGATCATATCACTGATGGCCTGGTCCTGTGACTAGTAAGACTGATGATGATGAAAAATAGAAAATGTGGATTACAGAGGTCACAGTGTCATTCTGGATTCCTCAGACTAGCAAGGCCACTTCTGTGGCAAAGCAATGACGCTGTTCCAATCTCTGGCTACAAGCAGCTTGTCCTCTTGGGGGGACTTCACAATGAGAAATGCCCTGTACTTCATTTCAAAAGGAAGATTTCACTGCCTTACTAGAAAACAAATAGCAGAGAAATAAGTCTTCAAGATTTCTTTTTCATTTAGATAGTGGGGGACGGGTTGTAAAGGAAATCAAAGGGACATGTACAAAGCAGTAAATACCCAGTCACAGTCTTAAGAACCAAAACAGTTTTTAAAATATGAACTGTTTTTAGCCAACTCTTCCATACTCTGCTCAAGAATATTCCATAACTCTGTGGGGCACTGATAGCAAGTGACCCAACATAGTGGGAGTTACTCTTTACTGAATGTTACCCAAGATCACAGCAAGTTTCCCAGTACAGTGGCAATGAGAAGATCTGACATAATTAAAACCTCTGCTGTTCTTTACCCATGTTTGTCCTGTTGATTGCTCTGGGGTTGATAACTGAAGGTTTAATGGTGTTGCTTAGAACATGTTTTTCACTTCCTGTATTCAAGTGTTGGGATGTTGAAAAGCTAGAAGGGAAAGGGAGGAATTCCTCCTATCTGCCAGTCTTGGTATTGGAGTAACCCCTAAACTGAAGTACTTCTGTTAAAAAAACCAATAAAAATATTTTATATAAATCTACCTTTTTAGGTCTTTTTTTTTCAACTCTACCTACTACTACTTATAAAAGGTGTTTCTGTGTCAGTTTTCTTCATTTGATTAGGTTTTCACTGCTACTTCATAGTAAGCACTTGGAAAAGTGATTGTCCAATCATACTTCCAAGTACAGAGCTGTGTCTGGGTCTCTTTCGGAGCTGGGACTGAATTCCAAACCCTTCTAGGACTCTCAAGCCTCTCAACCAGAGCATCTTTATTAATCAAAGAGCTATAAAGTAGACAGCTTGACACAGAAAGCCCAGCTGAACGCCATGGAAATACATATTTGCTTTCCTACAGTTGGCTGTTTGAACTTGTTCAGGTTTGCAAAATGAGAACAAATCCTAAGAGACAACAACTGAAAGGGAAAAGGAAGCAGCCAGAAAGAATAAATACATGCCATGGGGCTACAGCCTCCTCAACCAATAAGGAGTTTTACACTCCCCTCCCCTGTTTGCTTTTCAAAGTACATATTTAAGCATGAGGCTGTACATACTTTATGCCCAACACTGATCCCCCTCCACCCCAAAAGAGCTGTGTGAGAAACTGATTGGCCAGGGGGAGTCTCTTTTTTTTTTTTTTACAAAAACCTATTTTAAAAATTGCATTAAACTAAATACAACAGGGCTTTTTATGAGCAGCCTGTCCAGCACCCATGTCCAGCTCTTATCAATAAACACAAGACAAGGCTGGGCCCTGAATTAACAGCCTGGGCAGACACAGTCACCCCTCTGCACTGTCGTACAGAGCTCACCTGGGGACTGTCCTGCCCTGTGCTGAGGCTGCAGCCTTGCAGTGGGTGCCTCTGTCAAAGAGTTTGTCACAAAACCAAAGCAGGAGTTAACCCAAAGCTCTGTTCAGTGCTGCTTCTGGTGTCTTGGGCACAGCAGCTTACACCCAGCTCCTATCCCCACAGAGAAATGAAACAGAGAAGCCTCTACAACCATCCCAGGCACTCGGTTCCTTCCTTGTTTGCCATGTACCATTTAGGCTCTGTCTGGAGAACAGATCTGCAGACATATGAGGGTAGGCAGCACTTGGTCTGCAGGTGAACATCACCTGTCCAGGTGCTGCTCTTGTTACCTGTTTCCATCTACTGGTCAAATACTTGCACTGACATAACAAGATGAAAATTCAAGTCACAAAAATGCACAAATTACAACAGTTCTGGTGCCATCACCAGGGCTTAGATGTAGGGGCAGGGATACCCCATGCCAGTCTTCATGTACACTGTGCTAGGCCTGGATTACTGGTTTGCCCTTGGTCCCCATCCAGGGCACAAATGGATTCCTGTGCACACAAAACCATCCCTGAATTCACACACAGCACGTGCCAGCACCCTCAGCTGTGCTCTGGGTGCAACAGTCCTTCCCATCCTGTCCCCAGGGACTTCTAGCCCACACACTGCCCCCTGTAGAGTCCAGGCCCCCAGATTTAATCCTGTCCCCAGCAGACACCTGCAGTCTGTGCCACAACAGAACCCCCTGTATCCACACAGGCAATCACAGGGGCTTCTGGCTGGATGGTCTCACTGGGCTCTGACCAGCTTGTCAGATCAGTCCTTCCACTACCCCTGGCTGGTGAGTGCAGGCTGAGTGTCACTGCAAACCTTCTTTGAAAACAGGGCTAAAGAACACTGACCTCCCACTGGTACTGGAACTCCCCCCAGCAGCTCTGCGGTGCCTCCACCACACACCTCCCCAGCTCGTAGCTGGTCAGAAGGTGTTTTCAATTACTCTGTCCAGCAAGTGCAGCCTGATTTGCAGTCCCTGCAAAAATGCACGTCAAGAAAGGAGTTAAACCTGTGCCCTCTGGAATGAAGAGACTGCCCAAGCTGCCATCTCTAACACAGCCACTGCCAATGGGACACAGAGCAGGAGGTTCCTCAAGGAACTGACTCTGCCAAACCCTGCTGCTCCCCCAGAGCAGCCTTGCAAGTCACCACAGAAAAGTTCATTCTAATGCTGGATTTACACTTCATGCTTCCACCCTGGCCAGCAGTAACAGTAAATATCCCTACATTCAAAGCCTACCCACAAGGAATTTCCTCTCCATTTGCTCTGCCCGCCTCCTCTTTGCCAAATAACTATATTTACCTAATCAAGAGTATTGCTAATGGATTATACACTCCATCTGTTTTGATTCAACACACTGATGTTCACTGACTTGAAGAAAATTAAAGACCTCTCCCCCACTCTCCCTGTCTGCAGTTTATTCTGCAGCATGTATGCCAGCTGCTTGTTGGAATCCAGATAATTGAGCAGCATTCCCTAATCAGGACATTCAGGGAAAATCACTTCTGACTACCA